GACTGACCTGCCTGCAAGGGTGTTTCTGGAAATAATTAACAGGATAGACCTACGTTCAAAATGGATTGCATCTCCAGTGGGTAATGTTAGTTATTCTTGCAAACCTGAGTGGCAGGAACTGCTTTCCCTGGTAAGCTCCTCCCTCGAGGAGCTCAAATGGCCAGGCCCTGGCCCACAAGACTTCCCTAACAGTTATAATGGCTACTCCCAACCCTGAGATAGAACAATGGCCAGGACCCCCATGATCCATCCTACAGAAAAAAAAATCCTACTAATCCCTGAGTTTGCCCCAGGATCAAGCCACATAATTCCTCCAATCCCAGGCCACCTTGGAAAACTCATCTCAACCCCTCTCAACCCTATATAAACCTCGCTCTATGCCCAGTTCTCTGCTGCTTCTCTCCCAAGCAGAGGTAACCACCTTCCTGTGTTTTTCCCTCCCAATAAATCTCTTGTGTGAGGTTTGTTTTGCAGTATGACTTGGTTTCCAACTGCCAGGATACCTTTCCATATGAGCTGGAATACCTACAGCTAGCCCAGATATAAAGAAGTTCATGAAAAGATTAATATGCGTGCACCTTCCTTCCCTTCTTTCTGATCTGGCTGCTGCTAAGTAAGATACACCTCTCATATCAGACTCCAGCTTCTTTAGCCATCCAGCATGCACTAGGGAGCTTTCAGGTTTCCAGCAACAGATTGGGACTGTGAAGGCATTCAGCTTATTGGACTCATAGTTACTGATACTTTGCCTCCCTAGTATGCAGACTGCTGCTGTTTGACTTCATAGCCCCCTATCTTTTAAGCTAAACTAATACATTCCCTTTAATAATATATAACATTCTATTGATTCTGTTCCTCTAGGGAATTCTGCCTAATAAAGGTTTTATTATTAAGAGTGGTTACTAAGAAACAGGATTGTTAAGGACAAATTTCTCTAAAGGGTTTGTTGGTTTCTAGAGATGGCTTTCTAATTCTATTAAAGCAAATGTTAATACAGACTTTCCTGCTAATTTGGAGAGCATGGATAATACATGGAGTAAATTGTTAAGAGATCTATGCACTAAAATAGATTTGCTATCCTATTTATTAGTTATGAAGAGCAAGAGATTTATTGGCTCTACATGTGAGACCTTCAAACATTTCAGGCAATACACACAGTAATACATTTTGCTTGGAAGGAAAAATGGCCACATCAGGTTGCATACTGATTCTTTGTTAGTGGATAAATGGTTTGTTGGATGATTGGGGACTTAGATGGTAGATTATTTTTTAATGAGTAAGAAAATATTTGGGGAATGGGTATATATGTGTGTACTTTTCCAAATAGACAAAAGATCTAAAGAAATGTGCGTGTTGTCTAAATGCTCACCAAAAGGTGACTGCAACAGAGGAATAATCAAGTAGACAAGATGACCCAACCTGTAGATAGCAGTCAATCACTTTCCCTGACAATTCTTGACACTGTTCAATGTGCCCATGAACAAAGTGACAATTGCAGCATGAATCTTGATTGTGCACAAGCTTGACAACATGTACTTCTTACCAAGGCTGGCCTGTCTATAGCTGCAGCTGAGTACTAAATCTGCTAACAGCAGTGACTAAGACAAAGCCTCCATATGGCATCATTCTCCAGAGTGACCAAGCAATGATTTGGTGGTTGGTTGATGACATTGGATGGTAGAACAACTTCTATCATGCAAAGGGCTGCATTTTGTTCTTACTGGAATAGATTTCTTATTCTACTTATGAATTTGACTTTCTTGAATATAATGTTATAAGCAGACTACTTTGTGAATTCCTTTTCTTCTTCCTATATGTTATCTCAAAACAGGTTGGAAGAAAGAAAAAACAGAAAAATCCCCTCTGGGATCAAAGTATGGAATAATCCAGCAGGAGAAGACCCAATAAATTTTTGCTGGTGTCTTGAAACAAAATATCCATCCCTTCATACCCTGCCATTTCCAGGCAACGAACCAAGTGAGACCTACTGAGAAAAGAGAATGGATAGTAGAAAGTAGTTATAAATGCCAGATAAGGCCATGTGGCCAGTAACTAAAATGAGGATTGTAATAACCATTAGCATTTCATCTTATTTTGTTAAAAATATGTTTGTGCACACACACACACACGTAAAGCATATATTTGTGTCTTCTTTCCTCTCTCTTTTAAAGTCAATTTGGCATTTCTTATTTAATAATATTTTATTGTTCATTTTGAGATTGTAATTTAATTATATTATTTATCCTACCCTTTCCTCCTTCTAAAAACACCCATATACTCCTCCCTACTCTCCTTCAAATTCATGGCCTCTTTTCTCATTGTTACTCTGTGTGTGTGTGTGTGTGTGTGTGTGTGTGGGCGTGCACACACGCGTGTGTGTACATAAATATATATTGGAAATGTTCTCCCTGCCAAGGTTGTAGGAGGAATGCTCTCCCTGTTAAGATTAGTGACTCCATGATAACTAGAAACAGCCTGAGCCCAGGAAGTGAGAATGTGTTCCTCAGGAAAATGGTAAATGCTATGACCTTAAAGACAGGCCATAAGGCTATAGAAAAGAACTCTGAAAACATGAGTTCAAGAATATATAATTTCTCAACTATGTAAAATATAAGAATGCAACATAAATTGTATGAGGGGCTTCATGGACCTAAAAGAACAGAGACAGCTGCACTAATGAGCCAGCTTGTCATAAAGATATTAAGGAAAGAGAAAAGGAGATTTAAGAAGTGATGATATCAAAGGGAGACCCCACTCAGATAGCTTATTGTCTGTGCTTACAAAGGCAGGCAGATTCCTGAGGTCAAGATCAGTCTGGGACAGAGCAAGTTTAGGTCCAGGTGTGATGGTAGTATCAGGATGGGATCCCACACAGCTAAACTTATTGCGGTTACAAAGGCAAGTAGATCTCTGTATTCATTTATAAAACAATATGTACTTGCTGTCCTTTTCTAATAATCAAGGGACTAAGGTTATAAAATGCTGATTTGTGGGATAATCAAAAGGGAACCTGGAGAAATAGGTATGTAAATAAAAGACTGTGCTTTGATCTGTCAGAGAGAGCTACCCAGAGAGAACTGCTTGGAGAGCAACACAGCTCTTTTATAATTTTTCTACCAGGATTTCTGACCTTGGTTGGAAAACCAAAAGGCTATCATACAGAGCTGTTACAACTCTTTTAGAATTTTTCCAGCAAGATTTCTGACTTTGGTTAGAAAACTCAAGAGCTATCCAGAGAGTTATTACTGTTCTTTTAGAAATTTTTCTAGCAGGATTTCTGACTTTGGTCAGAAAACCCAAGAGCTATCTCAAGCAAAGAGAGCCATTTCAAGCAGAGAGAGCTATTTCAAGCAGAGAGCTGTCTCGAGCAGACTACAGAGCCAAGAGCTATCTACAGTGCTGTCTAGGGAGCCATTTCTAGCAGACTACAGAGCTGTCAGCTTATAAGTACATTGACTTTGAGTCATTCTTCCAGCATTCCCAAGCACCCCTTCCTCAGGAACCCCTCTCCAAGTTGAGGCTGGACCTTGACAATTTCTTAACGTTAGAGTCCAAGATAGCAGAAAGAAGGATGAGTTGAAAACTCATATTTGATCCACAAATGTAAGTTGGAGAGAGCATACATAGAATCTCATGAGTATTTTGAAACCTCGAAGCCTGCCTCCAGTGACACCTCCTCCAACAAGGCCACATCTCTTAGCCTTTCCAAAAACGTTGCACAAACTAGAGATTATGTATTAAAATATAAGACCCTATGGGGGATGTAGTGCTTTGAATGAGAATAGTTTCCATAGGCTCATATACTTGAATATTTGGTTCCCAGTTAGTAGACTACTTAGAAAGAATTAGTAACTGTGGCCTTTTTTGGAGGAGGTATGTCACTAGGGATTGGCTTTGAGATTTCAATGGTCCATACCAGGCCCAGTCTCACTCTCTCTATGTATGTATCTTCTACTTGCAGATCAGGAAGTAAGCTCAGAGTTACTCTGTGCCTACATCCCTGCTGCCATGCTCCCCACCATGATGATCATGGACTAACCCTCTAGAATTCTAAGTCAGCCCACTAAATGCTTTCTTTTATACAAGTTGCCTTGGTCATAGTGCCTCTTCATAGAAATAAAACAGTAACTAAGACAGGGTTGATTTCATTCAAACTACCATACCATTTAATATAACATCAATAAGAACAGTAATTAAGTGTTATTAAATCTATATTGTCATGTTTAAGTTATAGAATATTAAGGAACTGATCATCCCTCAAGGGAATTTTGTGTTTTTACTTATATGTGGGATAATTATATTATATTAGGTAGAATTACCAGCATGCTACTGTCTTCATTTGGAAATCAAAGATTACATAAAAATATATGGTTAAGTGTCAAGTTGACAAGAGGTGGACTTGTGACTGTTAATCTTGGTTGTTAACCTGACTGGATCTGTCTCTATTTGGGGATGTGCAAGCATTTCCAGGAAAGATTAATTGAGGAAAGAACAGTCTTCCTGAGAGAGCCCTGCACTGTCTAAAACTCAGATAGTCCTGGGAAAAAAGCATTGCTGCTTGCCTCCTTGCCTTTGCTTTTTCATCTAACTCTGCTGCTGTAACCATTATTTGAGGACATCAGAATCCATCTTCATCAGGTTCTACTGTGAACTGAAGACTAGTGACTCCCTCAGGAATCTTCGATACCTTTGGCACCAGATTGAAACTGCTGAGGCATCTACCTTCATGGACTGAACAGCAACCAGGTTCTCTACCTCTCCAATGTGCAAAGAGTCAATATTAGCTATAAGTAATTATAATAAATTCCCTTTATAACATATATTCTTTCTATCAGTTCTATTCCTTTAGAGAATTCTGAATAACACAAGTTAAAGAAGCAAATAAATTTGACATGCTGGCTTTTGAAGTCAGAAAAGATTTAAATGGCCAAAGTACTACACAGTAAATATGAACTGATATCAATCATAATATTTCTGAATTTTCATTTTTTTTACATTACCTAAGCCAGAATGAACTCTCTCTGTATTTATTCTGCTTGCTTGTCTCTACTCCAAGGTTGTAACAGAGTACATGAAGATATTTTGTCTGTAATAAAAAAACATAAATAAGTAAATAAATAAAGATTCATTATTTTCTTCAAGTTAAAAAAATATCAATAGCTATTCAGAGTCTTAAAAACACCCCAGGAATGGTGACACATATTTTTCACAAATTCAGACAGATCTCTATGAGTTTAAGGCCTCCCTGGTCTACATATGAATTCCAGGCTGGCCAGGGCTACATAAATAACCATCCTTATAAAAACTTCCCAAGTTATACAAAAGAGAGATACAAAGAATTCAAGTTGGGACTTCAATTATATATGGAAAATATTACAAGAGATTATCGATAGAAGTTGAAAGTCCCCTTGTTACTGGTAATAAGAAACCTGATACCAGAAAATAATGAGGTTTCCCATGTTTGTGGATTGGTAAAATTCATATTGTGAAAATAGCATCCTTGTTTGTGATAGGCAGAAACTGGAAACAACTCAGATGTCCCACGACAGAAGAATGGATACAGAAAATGTGGTACATTTATACAATGGAATAGTACTCAGCTATTAGGAACAAGGACATCCAGAGTTTTGCAAGCAAATGGATGGAACTAGAAAATATCATCCTGAGTGAGATAACTCAGACCCAAAAGGACATTCATGGCATGTACTCACTAATAAGTGGATATTAGCCACAAAAAAGTACAGAATACCCAAGATATAGTCCACAGAACTCAAAAAGGTCAATAAGCTGAAGGGCCCAAGGGAGAACACATCAATCCCACTTGGGAGGGAGAAGAGAGCAATCACAAGTCGGAGGGAAAGGAGTTGGGGGGTGGGAGGGAAGAGGGGAACATGATCTGGTATTGGATGGTGGGAAAGGGACTGAAGCCCTGAGAGCCAGCAGAAAGAATGGAAACAGGCAACCTCAGGAGGTAGGAGGTGAGGGGACCCTCCAGAATGTACCAGAGACCTGGGAGGTGAGAGACTCTCAGGACTTAAACGGAGGGACCCTAGATAAAATGCCCTACAGTGGAGAGAGGGAACTCGTAGAGCCCACCTCCGCAGAAAAATAGGGCATCTGTGAGAGATGGGGTTGCCATCCCACAGTCAAAACTCTGACCCATAATTGTTCCTATCTGAAAGAACTGCAGGGATGGAAATGGAGAGGAGCCTGAAGAACCAATCAATGGACAGAAGCTGTGGACCCCTGTGGTTGAATTAGGGGAAAACTGGAAGAAGCTGAGGGGGTGGGTAACCTTGTAAGAGGACCAGTAGTCTCAAATAACCTCGACCTCCAAGAGGACCAGCAGTCCCAACTAACCTGGACCCGCAAGATCTCTCAGACACTGAGCCACCAATCAGGCAGCATACACCAGCTGATATGAGGCCCCCAACACATATACAGCAGAGGACTGCCAGGTCTGGGTTCAGTCAGAGAAGATGCACCTAACCCTCAATAGACTGGAGGCCCCAGGGAGTTTAGAGGTCTGGTAGGGTGGGGTAGAGGGTAGAACATCCTTGTGGAGACAAGAGGGCAGGAGGAGGTATGGGATGGGGAACAGTCAGAGGGTGGACCAGGAGGGGAATAAAATCTGAAGTGTTAAAAAAGATTAAATAGAATTAAAAAGATAAAAGAAAATAACCACCCTACCAAATTAAGATTCGCTTAATCCCATCAAAATTCTAACACAATTCTTCATAGAAATTTTAAAAAATAATTGTAAATGTCATACAAAAGAACAAAAATAAACCAGGATGAATCCTGTGCCACAGCACTCCATACTCAAATACTGCCGGGAGAGAGCTCGTCTCCCAGAAGAGCCGGCACACCTGAAAGCACAGGTAAGACCACCACTTTTGCTCAAATTCCTGGCCCAAGGGGGACCCACCTAGAGCCATCAGGACACAGGAAACAATGAACAGCCAGGGACAGGATCCTTCCAGTTTCCATCTGCATCCCGGAGCTGACCCTGTGCCACAGCTCTCCATACCCATTTCCTGGAGAGAACAGGTCTCCCAGGAGTGCTGACACACAGGCTTGCAGGAGGGACAAGCCACAGTCAGAGACAGCAAGACCAGCTAACACCAGAGAGAACCAGATGGTGAGAGGCAAGGGCAAGAACATAAGCAACAGAAACCAAGTCTGCTTGGCATCATCAGAACCCAGTTCTCCCACCACAGCAATCCCTGGCTGGATACCCCAACACACCAGAAAAGCAAGACTGATTTAAAATCACATCTCATGATGATGATAGAGGACTTTAAGAAGGACATAAATAACTTCCTTAAAGAAATCCAGTAGAACACAGATAAATAGCTAGACGTCCTTAAAGAAGAAACACAAAAATCCCTTAAAGAATTATTAACTACACATATAACAGAATGTTAATGTCTAGAATAAAGAACTAAAAAAAACATTAGCATCAAGAAAACTATTCTCAACAATAAAAGAACTTCTGGAGGAATCACCATCCCTGACCTCAAGCTGTACTACAGAGCAATAGTGATAAAAACTACCTGGTATTGGTACAGAGACAGGCAGGAAGATCAATGGAATAGAATTGAAGACCCAGAAATGAACCCACACTCCTATGGTCACTTGATCTTTGACAAAGGAGCTAAAACTGTCCAGTGGAAAAAGGACAGCATTTTCAACAAATGGTGCTGGTTCAACTGGAAGACAACATGTAGAAGAATGAAAATTGATCCATTCTTATCCCCTTGTACAAAGCTCAAGTCTAAGTGGATAAAGGACCTCCACATAAAACCAGATACACTGAAACTAATAGAAGAGAAGGTGGGGAAAAGCCTCGAATACTTGGGCACAGGGGAAAAGTTCCTGAACAGAACTCCAATGGCATATGCTCTAAGATCGAGAATTGACAAATGGGACTTCATAAAATTGCAAAGTTTCTGTAAGGCAAAGGACACTGTCAATAGGACAAAACGACAACCAACAAATTGGGAAAAGATCTTTACCAATCCTTCATCTGATAGAGGGCTAATATCCAATATATACAAAGAACTCAAGAAATTAGACTCCAGACAACCAAATTACCCTATTAAAAAATGGGGTATAGAGCTTAACAAAGAATTTTCAACGGAAGAAACTCGAATGGCCGAGAAGCATCTAAAGAAATGTTCAGCATCCTTAGTCATCAGGGAAATGCAAATCAAAACAACCCTGAGATTCCATCTCACACCAGTCAGAATGGCTAAGATTAAAAACTCAGGTGATACTAGATGCTGGCGAGGGTGTAGAGAAAGAGGAACACTCCTCCATTGTTGGTGGGACTGCAAGATGGTGCAACCACTTTGGAAATCAGTCTGGCGGTTCCTCAGAAAATTGGACATAGCATTACCCGAGGATCCAGCTATACCACTCCTAGGCATATACCCAGAAGATGCTCGAACATATAACAAGGACATATGCTCAACTATGTTCATAGCAGCCTTATTTATAATAGCCAGGAGCTGGAAAGAACCCAGATGTCCTTCAACTGAGGAATGGATTCAAAAAATGTGGTATATTTACACAATGGAGTATTACTCAGCTATTAAAAACAATGAATTCGAGAGGTTCCTAGGTAAATGGATGGAACTAGAAATTATCATCCTGAGTGAGGTAAGCCAATCACAAAAGAACACACATGGTATTCACTCACTGATTATTGGATATTAGCCCAGAACCTTGAAATGCCCAAGATGCAACTCACAGGCCACATGAAGCCCATAAAGAAGGAAGACCAAGTGAGGGTGATTCGGTCCTTCTTAGAAGGAGCAACAAAATACTCAAGGGAGCAAATATGGAGACAAAGTGAGGGACAGAAACTGAAGGATGGGCCGTCTCAAGACCACTCCACCTGAGTATCTATCCCATGTGCAATCACCAAAGGTAGATGCTGATGTGGAAGACAGGAAGTGCATGCTGATAAGAGCCTGATATGGATATCTCCTCAGAGGCCTTCAAGAGTCAGACATATTCAGAGGCAGATGCTCACAACTAGCCATTGAACTGATCATGGGGTTCTCAATAGAGGAGTTAGAGTGAAGACTGAAGGAGCTGAAAGGATTTAAGGCACCATGAGGAGAGCAACAATACCAACCAACCACAGCTCCCAGGGTCTAAACCACCAGCCTGGGAGCACTTAGGGGGGGATCCAGGGCTTCAGCTGAATATGTAAAAGTGGAGGGCCCTGCTGGGCATAGGTGGAAGAAGAGAACCTTGACCTCATGAAGGCTGGATGCCCCAGGGGGTGGGAATTTTGAGGGTGGGGAGGTGGGAGTGGGGGGGTTAGATAGAGGTTACATCCACAGAGAAGAAGGAGGAGGGGCGAGGGGATTGGGGGTTCCGAGGGGGTGGTGGGGGATGGGGTAAGGGGACAACATAGGAAATGTAAATAAATCATCCAATAAAAAAAAAGAAAACAAATAACTCAGTTAAAAATAGGTCAAAGAACTAACAAAATTCTCAAAATATGAAATGGTAAATGGCCATTTCAAGAAATACATTTTTTGAATGTTCGATATCCTTAATCATCAGAAAAATGCAAATCAACATTATTTTGAGATTTTTATCTTACCTTAGTCAAAATGACTAAGAAACAATAAATGCTGGCATGTATGTGAGGAAAGGGAAACACTTACACTGATGGTGGGTATGTAAACTGGTTGTAGCTACTAAAGAAATCAGTGTGGTGGTTGTTCAAAACGCTAGAAATAGTTCTATTGTATGATCTAGCTGTGCTCTCTTAGACATAGACCTAAAGGAATGGAAATGGGAACATCCTTGATATCTATGAACTGGTGAGTAGAAAATGAAAATACGATATGGATAATGAAAATGTAATACATTTACACAATGGAATATGACTCAGTTGTTAAGAGAAGTAAAATTATATTTTCAGTTAAATGGATGGAACACAGAGACCCACAATTGGTCAACTTGCAGAAAATAAGAGATGTTGGAGTACTCAGATTCCACTGGATATCTATATTGCACCCCTTCCCCAGAGATTCGGGGACCTTTATGGGAAAGGGGGTAGAA